TTATGTATTATGTTTTACTGTGCTCAAATTGTTTTGTTTACACAAATGGAGTAAGTTCACAGAATTCATTAGGATTAGTTTGTGAACTTAAATGGTTTGTTGCAATCAGTTTCCTCAAATATTTTGAGTTACCTTAACTTTTTGGGGTTTTACAGTGTATATTTTGTGACTGTAAATGTAAATAAATGTCACTTTGTTTAACTGCAGTCATAAACATTTGTTGGAAAAGAGTTTAATGTCCCAAGTTGCAATTCTAAAGCATAAAGTAATAAAAATACACCTGTAAATCAAAAATAAAAAACTGTTAATTAAAATACAGTGTAGCAGCATATATGAGTACAGCCCATTTCGAACATTCTCAGTGAATACGGTGTAATATATATTGGTGCATTTGAAAAAGACAGATTTATTAAACAGATATATTTATAATATTTTAGTCACAGAACATCTTTAGAAATGGAAAGATAATACAATTAAATTCATGCAAAATATTGCTATTTTCAAAAATGGTATTTAATATTTTTCCATAACATCTAAATTTGGGCTACTAATTTTTGAACCATTATTGTAAGTTATATTGTTAGATTAGCTCTAGATTTGGCTTCAGTACTTCCTCATGTATATGCACAAATATAATATTGTAAAGCATCTTTTGGAACAATATTAATTTGAATAAGAGATATGGGGGGGGGGGGGGGTGTACTCATATATGCTGAGCAGTGTACTTTAACTGTGTTCTGTTGCATGCAGCTGAGAAAGAACCGATAATGTTAGTGATATTTTAGGTTAACCGATAAGTAGAAAGTGCAATTTAAGCCCATCTGCATGTGGAAAAAGACATTTACTTAAACTGTCCATTTTTCGACCAGCAAGCACATGTCTATACTCTAATGTTAAAACCTTTTTGCAATTCTGATTAGTTATGTTGACAATTTTCTTTTTAAGACTTTTCAAAATTCAACTTTCTAAATTCAGACGCCATCAACAGCAACACCTTTGAGTGCTCAACTAAGCATAATAATTGGACCGATCGATTAATTCAAATACAAAAGCAATACAACACAATTTTAGCAAACATTTACCAAAGCAAAGACAAACAGAAGCTGCAAACAACCTTGAGCTACAGTTCCCATACTTATTCACACACACACACACACCACACACACACACACACACACACACACGCACGCATAAACACACACACACAGCTCCTCCTCCTACCGATTTTCAGCATGATAACAGTGAGTCGTCTGACAAGCTCCTCCAGAGAGTCCTCTCCCATCTTCACCCACAGGATCATGATGAGCAGGAGCCAGGAGAGCAGGAGCTGCAGAGGAGAACACACGACTGAAGCTGAAGACTGCTGCTGCAAGAGATGCTGGAGAGAGAGAGAGAGAGAGAGAGAGAGAGAGAGAGAGAGAGAGAGAGAGAGAGAGAGAGAGATGCCTCAGCAAAGCAGCAAAGATGAGACAGCAACACACTGACACACATGTACACTTAGGCTCTGCATCAACCAGGCAGTTTGTGCACACACACACACACACACACACACACACACACACACACACAGGTATGCGCATATGAGTAATGTTAAGGTCACTGTATTTACAACTCTGACAAAGGAACCATGACCTACAAACATGCATGTGCTCAGTTTGTGTAAGTATTCATGTGTGTGTGTGTGTGTGTGTGTGTGTGTGTGTGTGTGTATGTGTGTGTGTGTGTGAGTGTGTGTTTTACTGCTTTTTCTAACTACTTCTTTAAAATTAGCGGAATCAACACAATTATGGGTTTTTTGGGGGAGGACAACTTAATAGTTTTAATTGTTCAATTCACTTGAGTTTGTAAAAACAATTACTGTAAATTAACTTTATTGATTTGTGTTGGGACAACATGCAGGACCTCTGTGGAACCCAGCATTTTTACAATTTACAATGTATGGCACAGGTATTTACAAAGAGATGGTGAATTATGAGGACATTGCTGATGTCCTCATTTTTCAAAATGTCTATAAATCATACAGAATGAGTTTTCTTTTCTTCAGAAGGTAGAACTACAGTTTACTGTAAGAAGCAGGCGTAGAGTAATAGAAAATAGTATAGTTGCATAAAAACAATGAAAATCTATGGAAATGTCATCACAATTCACCAAGTGTGTGTACCTGACATTGTGGAGACCAAATGTTTAATCAAAAGAAACTAATACCAGTCATTTTGATTTTTTAGTCCCATAGTTTTTAGTTTTTTTTTAGAAAACATCTTTACAATGTGTGTGTATCACAGAATGAAGTATTTCAAACATGCGAGTGTCGTGTTTAGGGGGAAAGTAAAAGTAACAGAGGAAAATACAGTTAGGTATTAAAAAATACGTTAGTGTGTGGTAAGTCCCCATAAAACTTGAAACTCACCAGGTGTGTTGTCATATCCATGTCATATATGTCAAACAGTCATAATTTGAAAAAAAAAAACTGCATGGCATTTAATACACTGCAGTCATCATCGAATTCAAGGTCAAGAAAGGACATTTGGGTTTGTTCGTGGTTAATTCTGTATTTTTTCAGTCGTTATTTTGCAGACGTTTATAAAAATTAAACACAATTTGATATCGTCAAAGGATGAAACTACACAAATGTAGTAGATAGAATCATGGATGAGTAGTGCTGCATTACCTGCATCAAGACTGTACCTCGAGGAGCTCAGAACTCTGTGCTTGAGGAACGTGGCGACATCTTGTGTTCGACAAGCAGAATTACAAAATTACATTTGTTTTAAATTCCCAGAAGCTGAATAGCACTTTAAAGAAGAGAAACAATTCATAAAAGACAACAATGCTCAAACACAATATTGGACAAACATAAAAGCAAACAAAAAGCCAAGACTCGAACCAGCACAGCAAGAAGGTTTGTCACAGTTCTGTTGTTTAATGCTTTAATACTTCCCCCTCCATATTACATTCAAGGCTTCTAAAAGACATTAAAGCGATTACATATCGTAGTCTAAAGGGCACCTATGATGAAAATCAACTTTATGCTGTTTGGACAGAACTGATTAAAGTTGTAGTGTGTCCACTGTCATATTGGAGTGTTAGAAACCCAAAGAGTGTCTGTTTTTTTTTTTTTAATTCTTAACGTTACAATAGCACCCAAATACCAGTGATTTTGAGGCCCAATGCAACGGGAAGTAAGAGCGTGGTTTCCCCGCCCCACCAAATTGATTGACAGGCACCATGTTTCTATAATAACATGTGTACACATCCAGTCCACAGAACCTTTTTTTTTTTTGCAAAGAAACTGGGATTAAAACATCTATTCCAACTCTCTGTGATTTTTATGTTTTATAAATTTAAAACGTTTTAAAGCAGAGCATGATTGTTTCAAGAATCAGACAGAACTGTTCCGGTTTCCCCCACTGTCCATAGACATGCGGTAAAGGTTAATTGGGTAAGCTAAATTGTTTGTAGTGTATGAGTATGAATGAGTGTGTATGAATGTTTCCCAGAGATGGGTGTTGCAGCTTGAAGGGCATCCGGTGCGTAAAACATATGCTGGATAAATTGGTGGTTCATTCCGCTGTGGCAACCCCAGAATAATAAAGGGACTAAGCCGAAAAGAAAATGAATGAATATATATATATATACACACATACATACAACAGTTTGGTTTGGGTCTTGATTTTGATTGGTTGATATATTCTGCCAGTAAAAGCATTTGTACCGCTTATATTATACAAATATTGCAGCTGTTGGACAACATCATGTACTTTTGAGGCTTTTTTTGGTCAAGAATATAGTTTAGATTGCAACTATGCAGTTCATTTATAAGGATATTCCCTATTTTGAATATTTATAATTTCTGAGACAGCGCATTGGCAGCTATTAGCCTGCTATACTGAGTAGACCAAAGACGGTTGACGTTGTCTATCCACAAGATGGCAACAGAGACCACATAATAAGCCTTTAGAGGAGACAAAATACAGCGTAATTTTAAACTACAGCTGATTAAATCAATATTAAACTGATAAGTGATATTTTAAGTCGATCTCTCACTTTTGCATGTTGTATTGCTGTATTCATACCATATAATTGTAGTGTAATGAGTATGAGACGGGACTCGCATATCAGGAACGTGTGTTGTGTTGGCAATGTGCGTTCCTTGTCGCAAACACAACAGCAGTCTGGTATGCTTGAGCAGCCTTTTTCGGGGTTAATTATTGTGATATCCTGATTGCAACAGAGAATGCTGTAGACTGTAACACTGTAGGGAGATATCAGTGTACACTGCCGTTCAGCATTATAATCTTAAAATCTCAGCAAAATCAGCTGTTTTGTTATCACTTTAGACTTCACGCTAGAGAATTATTCAAACACTAGCTCTAAAGTGATGTTGGTGAATTAGTAACGGTTTCTGCTTTTCTGATGTCAGCTGCAGATGTGAATGAATGGCGGAAGTAGTTTCTTATACAAAAGGGTTTTTAGACTCCAAGTTTGATTTTCTTTTTTATATACACGATTATGCTGTTGAACTGTTGTATAAACGCAATATCACACAGTAGCAGTGTGATGTGGCTGAATATCATCACTGGTGGGACACTAAGGCACGCCTCCCACCAGCCGATATACAGCCATATCACACTGCTACTCCTATATGTATATGTGTGTGTGTGTTTATGTATATGTACTGCAAACAACATTTGTGTGAGACTCATCGTTTCAGAAAGGCTTGAATAAACTCCACCACAAATACAGCAAATAAACTTGGTATTTTTGACTAATGAGCTGCATTTCAGCTTAAAGCAACAGGCTACAAAAACAGCTGCAATGTACTCAGCAAAATGAGCATATTCTGGAGGCTATAATAAATCTGATGGGTATTTTGAGCGGAAACTTTACGGACGCATTCTGGAGACACCAAAGACTTACCTTACATCTTGTAAAAGGTGTAAAATAGGTGCCATTTAATAGTGAAGCAATTCAATACTTGACTTGAATGAAAATCTACCATGTTTTATATATATTATAAAAAAGTTTATTCATTCAAGAAAAGAAAGACAGGATGTTGGATTCTGAATTCTGCTTTGTAGACGTGTGTTACAGTGCAGAAAGCGCTTAATCCATCAATGAACGATCATTTCAGTCTGCTTCAGCCTCAAACCCCTGCCACACATTAAAATATGGACAAAAAAGTCTTCTCCACTTCATCCGAGGACAAAACTCGTTATCAATCTCCATATAAAGGGGGACTTTTTTCATCTTTGCCAGCTTCACCAAAGCCACTTCCATCAATACAGTTCATGAACATGAGAGAAAGACAAAGGGGAAAAACATTACAACAGCAATCTATTCATATTGCCCATAATGACCCAATACTTCAAAACAACAACTTCATCCTCGCAGTATCAACCTGAGGCTTGAGAAGATCACACAGCATTGTGGGTAATTGTAATTTTTGTACACGTATGAAATGATTTTTTGTTTTTACAGAGGTCAAAGTAGTTCATTTACTGTAAGTGCATGTAACTGAACAGGTCCATTCATATAAATTAAACAACTGCTTTACGGTTTCTTGTTCTTTTTTTTTTTTACACAAAGGTCACAGCCTGTATAATTACAAACATAATATATTTTTATATTTATAATCATGAAAAAGGTTCATTCGATAGTCATCCAGAACCATAAACACAGTCGGATTTGTCTTATGAAGATTTTAAGATGCGTAACAAAAGGGCACAAGAAGAAAACAACTCCAAAAAAGTATGTAAACGTGGACTTAAATATTATCAAAAACAAAGATTTGTACAAAAACCAAAGAAAAAAAACTAGTATTCACACATTAACTACATCAACCGAAAATAAACAGACTTGTGACCTTGTGCTACTGAGTCACACGGTAAAAACCACTAGATAGTCAAGTGACTGAACTCATTTGTCGATGACACTGCAATAGGATATTCTAGAAAGGATTTCCCTGTTATATGGGTTCATTACAGAGCGCCAGACGAGTTCTGAGTAGCCCTAACAATAAACAGTCTTTTTAGACAGCGAGCGCACGTGATGTTGACATTCGCAGGGTCAGATGTTGGAGCTCCGTCTGCCTCTGGTGGCCCCGAGCGAGGGCCGCAGGCGGGGGTCACGGGCCTTGTAATGTTCATTGAAATCCAGACGAAAACTGAGGAACTGGAGACTCTCGTCAGAGCAGGTCATTAGCAGCCGCAGGAACTCCTGCACTATGCCCTGAAAGACAGGAAAAAAAAAAATCACAGCTCAGGGTTATTTTGGTTTGATGCTGATTTAACCCTTGTGTGTTGTTGGGGATGCCTTCATCCACTCTGGGGTGACTTTGGTTCTTAATTTGGCCACAACTTTCTTTGTGTTTCAGGCAAATTGAATAATTTTTGGTGACAAATTTTATTTCAACAAATTTTAGGGGGAAAATGCTTTGAAAGATTACAAGAATTTAACAATACACTCTGGGCAAATTGACTACCATTTCGTTTTGTTGATGGCTGTTTTTGCCCCATTGACTTCCATTAAAATGACATTTTTTGATTGCAAAGCCATAACCGTTTAATCGTGCATCCTTGATTTGTTAGTGGTTTACCCTGTTGGGACGAGGTAAAATTGGTCAATTTTACTAGTTTCTGCCTTCTATATGGAGTATAGTGTGTGTGAGTGTGTGTGTGTGTGTGTGTGAGAGAGACCATTGTGCACTTAGCTTGATATATCTGAGAAAATCAAAATAAGCAGCTCAGCTCTCATCAGATAATAGTACTTTAACAAACAGGATGTGCTTTAAGTTGAGCGTATTTACATTCAAATCAGGTGAGTGGTTTAGGAATTACAACAATGTGCATTTGTGCCTCCCACTTGTTAAGGGTCCAAAAGTAATGACAATTGGCTCCTAAGCTGTTTTATGGCCAGGTGTGTTATTTCCTCATTATCCCAATTGCAATAAGCAGAGAAAAGGTCCAGAGTTCATTGCAAGCGTGTTATTTGCATTTAGAATTGGTTACTGTCAATTCTCAAGATGCGATCCAAAGAGCCGTCACTACTAGTCAAGCAAGCCATCATTAGGCTGAAAAAACAAAACAAACCTATCAAAGAGATAGCAAAAACATCAGGCACGGCCAATAACAACTGTTTGGAACATTCTTAAAAAGAAAGAACGGACCTTCAAGCTCAGCAACACCACTTTACCTGGAAGACCACAGAAATAACTGTGGTGGATGACCAAATAATTATTTCCCTGGTGAAGAAAACACCCTTCACAACAGTTGGCCAGATCAAGAACGCTCGCCAAGAGGTAGCTGTATGTGTGACAATCAAGTCAACAATCAAGAGAAGACTTCACCGGAGTGAATACGGAAGGTTCAACACGAGATGTAAACCATTGCTGAGCCTCAAAAACAGGAACGCCAGATTAGAGTAAAAAAAAAAAAGTCTTCACAGAGCTGGAACAACATCTATGGACAGATGAGTCCAAGACAAACTTGTACCAGCGTAATGGGAAGAGTATGGAGAAGGAAAGCATCTGCTGAAGATCCTAAGCAGTGAAGCAGGTTGGTAGTATTGACATGTCTTGGGCATGTATGGCTGTCATGGGAACTGTTTCTCTTGTATTTATTGATGATGTGACTGCTGACAAAAGCAGCAGGATGAATTCTGAAGTGTTTCAGGCAATATTATCTGCTCATATTAAGCCAAATTCTTCAGAACTCACTAGACGGTGCTTCACAGTGCAGATGGAGAATGATCCATAGCATACTGCAAAAGCAACCAAAGAGTTTTTGAAGGGAAAGAAGTTGAATATTATGCAATGGCCAAGTAAACCACCTGACCTGAATCCGATTGAGCATGCATTTCACTTGCTAAAGACAAAACTGAAGGAAAATGCCCCAAGAACAAGCAGGAACTAAAGACAGTTGCTGTAGAGGCCTGGCAGAGCACCACCAGGAATGAAACCCAACGTCTGCTTATGTTTATGCATTCCAGACTTCAGGCTGTAATTGACTGCAAAGAATTTGCAACCAAGTATTAAAAAGTAAAAGCTTAATTTATGATTATTATTCTGTCTAATTACTTTTGGACCCTTAACAAGTGGGAGGCACGTATGCAAACTGATGTTATTCCTACAGAGTTCACCTGATTTGGATGTAAATACACTCAAATTAAAGTTGACAGTCGGCAGTTGGCAGTTTAAGTACATCTTGTTCGTTCCATTTCAAATCGATTGTGCTGGTGTATAGAGCCAAAAATGTTGTAATTGTGTCGATGACCAAATATTATTGGACCTAACCGTATATATAAAAATAAAAAAATACACATACTGTTCCTAGAATGAGAATATCATTTTCCGATAACAACATCAATGCTCTCACTACTAGATTATCTAGCCTTCTCCAGCATGATGTGTTAAATATAGAGCATGTTCTGCTGAAATTCGATAAGATCCACATTAAGTGTCTGACAGTAGCAGACGTAACGTGCGGATCAGCATAAAACGCTCCGCTAAACACCATTAAGCATGTTCTCTTGTGCTGGCTCAGCACTTTATCGCGGACGCATGAAATGATATTGGTTTATTAGGCGAGTGTGTGAAAGTGTCCGGGGTACCTGATAGAAGTGTGTGAGCAATCGGAGCTGAGAGCACATTTTTGGTATGGTGTCTTTAAACTCCTGCACGCGTCTGTTCTCCTCGGCCTCCTGCTCTGCTGTTACACCCCACTCGGCCTGAAACACACAAACAACCCTGTAAGCAAACACACCATGACACTATTTTCAGGTTTGTTTACTTTTGGAGCCATTTTAGCTGATGTGAAAGACAAAAAAGGAGGGAAAAAAAAAAATCGATGTCAATAGAAAACAAACACCAGCGCTGTAAAAGGAGACGCAGCTCTCAGTTTGGCTCATACATTTGCTAATGGCCACTTTACTGGGTCAAATAAAGAAGTGGATCATAATTCTGTGTATGGAGATAATAATAAGCATGGAAGGAAGGATCAGATCACCCAAAATCAACAAAGAAGAAAGATATTTTTAGGTGATTTCAGTCAAAATGCCTGAGAGCTCTCAAAAAAATGAACATTTTCTTGCTCTTAAATGGTTACAAACCTTTATCCGTATCTTTTTTTTGTTGACCACAAAAGAATATTCTGAACAATGTTGAGGATTAGCAGCCATTGACAAATAAAAAATAATAATAATATGGATGTTAACGGCAACCAGTTTCCAACATACTTCAAAATGTCTTTTAAAGCAGTGATTAATAATAGGTTTTAATGGTTTATTTTGGTTACATTATTTGAGGCTGTTTGGTAATTGTGAAGTGACAATGACACTCGTGCAGTTTGTCAAAGCTTTTTTGCAGAAACATGTACTCAGAGGGAGTTGGTACTATACAACCAAATTTGTTGATGTTGTAAATAGGAACCATTTGTCTGTTGATTCTGTTATAACAAAATTGCTGGGCAGATCCTTCAAGTGCAGTGTTCATTATGTGGAATTTGTTCGGTAAAAGTGTTTCCATCGCAGTTTATGCGCATCTTTTCTTTTTGAATAAAAAAAGTTTATCCAACTCAGTTATGCACATTTTCAAAATTTATGCTTATTTTGGCAATTCCATCAATCTGTTTTGATGCGCATATCTAAAATGCGCATAAAAATAGGTGGATGGAAACATAGCTATTGATGAATCAGCATTTTTGAACGAATCCACTGAGTTAGTGATCCAATGTCCCAACAGCCACTTGCTTTGTCTCTCAATGAATCAGCTGTTTGATGAATAATTTGAATGAATGATTTCTCGGCACGTGATGTTTTCGTCATAAATGCTTACAACAGTGTTGAACTTAAGGTTCTATGAGCTACGATAGACTACAAGAATGAAACTCTAACAAATACAGTACATACAGTATCATGATCAGTAAAAAAATATATCTATCATAAGTAAATGAACTATTTTCACCTGACAAAAATGGATTAAAATTACTTTAGCATTCATCATTTTAGGGTTCTCAAAAGTATTGACTTCAGTACCAATCAATACTAAATTTTTAAAGATATCCATTCACTGCTAAAATTGGTGAGTTGTTTAACACGTTCCTTAACACCTTTGATTGGCCATTGCGTTTAACAGATATGACTGTGATTGGCTCTGAAGTTCATCACTTTACCACTTTTCTCCGCTGTTCACCAGACGCAAACACAGATACACAGACATGGAAAACCACGTCTATCAGCTGATCTGTCAGCAGACCTCTGATATATCTGCTCATCAGTTGATCAACGGGGCTTTCAAATGCTCGGCTGTTTCTGTTTGGGGAACAGCGTGAAGAGTGATGAAGTGATGACCTTAAAGCCACCTTTCCACTGCAAACGACAAGCGACAGACTGGAAGTCATTCGTTTCCATTGCAGAATAGTCCGGGAGCTGCGAGGAGTTGTTTAAAATTATTAGATGAGAATTATTAGAAGTTGTTTGTTATTTTTTTTTTAATCAGAAAAATAATCCATTTAAAAAAAAAAAACTTATATAAATTTTTTAAATGCTCTCTCAACATTTCTCCAAATTTTTTTTTGTGGTCTATGAATTTCTAGTATTCATTCAATCAACCGTTGTGAACACACAGAGAATAAAGGCTCTTGTTTTTGCACTCCTTTATTGGAGTATCTTTAAGACTATCTGTATCGTTGAGAAACAGTGACTGCACATACCATCTCTTCTCTCTGTCTCTTCTTGTCCTCGAATTGTATGCGTAGCTGCAGTTCTTCTAGAGCAGAGCGGTACAGTGTGTCCTGAGCATTCTGGAACTCGATGATCTGATCAAACACTGCGCGCAACTGATTCAACAGAGACTACACACACATGACAATAGAGTTAGAGATGTGAGGATGAGTATGAAGCATCCCAATCACCCAGTGTGAGTGCATCATACCCGGTTGTTCACATCCAGCAGGCAGCGAGAAATGATGGTGTCCAGGAAAACGTCATGAGCTGCTATAATGTGATCCAGATCCTGAGCCTGCTGGACTTTATTCCACAACTCATCCCAAGAGCATTCCAACACCTGCGTAAAAGCACACACGCACACAAATAATTAATTCAATGATATAGATCAGTGGTTCTCAAACTGGTATGTGTACCACTAGTGGTACGCAGGCTTACTTCTAGTGGTACGCAAAGGAATCACTGAGTAATGAAAGAAAAAAATTAATCAAATTTTGAAAAATGACCGTATTCTCTTGTTACATCTCAGTCACTTGAGCGTCAAAATTTAACCCACAGACTAGAAAAAATGAGTAAGAACTGCAGCACAACGCACTTGCGTATTCCAGGCATGCCCTGTTGAAAACATTTTAACTTGCCGCATTGTGAGTCACGTGACAAGAATCAACTGATCAGCTTCATGTTTTATATAAAATATAACTTCATTAGACTAATTATCTCAAACACAGAACACCCAAACACTGCAGTGCTTCTTAATTTTCTCCATAAATAAAACTCGTATCAGAGTGCAGCAATGTTCAGTCAGCTTGACATCCTCTGAGGAAAACGGGTTCCCTAGCAATCTACATACAAGTTAATGTTTAGATATCAAAGTTTTAAAAATATGTCATATGTACATGCAACATATTTCAAAATCAATCAAAAATTGTATAAATATGACTTGTTTGTGCTGTAGCTGCTTAATTTGGCCAACTTCACTGCTTTATTTCACGACTGGTCATTATGGTGGTACTTGGAGAGACCAATTTTTTCTGAGGTGGTACTTGGTGGAAAAAAGTTTGAGAACCACTGATATAGATCAACTGTTTAAATGAGGAAACCAGAAAGATTTACGCACCTCAAATGTGATGTAATACTGCATCTGATGAATGAAGTGAACCATTTCAGAAGCAAGAACGTGACACTGGTGCAGCACACCAGAAAGCTCTGTGAATGCACACAACACACAAATAAAATGAAACATTTACAAATATTACACACGTGACAGTTACTGTGTTTTCAAAGAAGTCAGATGTGACAATAAGGCCCAATCCCAATTCTATTTTTGCACCTCTACCCCTTGTGAAACGTGTGAAGGGCTTCAAATTTACCCCTAAGAAATGTTATAGCACTAAAACACCAGCACACGTCATAATATGTCATTGTGAGCTCTTAGTTCATATGAGATCCATGATGGCGACTGCTGTAGTTATTCCAGTTGCATTATCTTTTGGTTTTTATTTTCAGGAAATTACCTAAGGCAACGATATCATGTTGTCATAATGATGTGATGTGGCAATAAGCTCATAACTGTACTGTGCATTTACACCGTGGCCATAATCATCCATGTAACACCCGAAAACAACATTAACATTATAGCAGACACTGAAAAGGTCATTCCCAGCCACTTGACTTTTCTGACTGGGGATTCCAGTGTCACCGAGTGACGGATGTAAAAGTATATTGTGAGACTACTATACAGGAGTTATTGTTATGGATTATACACTCACAGGTCACTTTAATAGGTACAAATGCTCGTTAACACAAATTTCCAATCAGCCAATCACATGGCAGCAACTCAATGCCTTTAGGCATGCAGACATAAGCTGCGTCCCAAATGGCACACTATACACTATGCACTCATGCACTATGTACTTATGCACTTACACACTCAACAGGATAGTATATGTATGTAGTGCTGTCCCAAATGGCACACTAATGTTTTTTTACTAAGCGGAAATTCAAACCGTTTCCCTGATGACGTTTGACTGTTGCCAAATCAGTGAAATAAACAACTGAATTATCAAGTAATACCTGCCGTGAGTATTGCCGCATTTACCATCCGGAGGCGCTATAATCACTCTCGTAGGAGAATTTTGCTTTCACTATCCAAAATAAATAAAGTTATTCAACATGTGCGTCCGATCGCTCCGCCCCTTCCGCTACGTAAGCAAACCTGCAGTCGTTGAGTGCGTGAAGTGTCCATCATTACACACTTCATTTTAGCGGCTGAATGAGTGCATCATCCGGGTAATTAAAGTGCACTTATTATTTTGAGAGTTTTCAATGTGAACACACTACTTACACTATTTATACTACAAAATGGCGTAAAATAGTGCATAAGTATGCGATTTGGGACGCAGCTAAAGTCAAGACGATCTGCTGCAGTTCAAACCGAGCATCAGAATGGGGAAGAAAGGTGATTTAAGTGACTTTGAACATGGCATGGTTGTCGGTGCCAGATGGGCTGGTCTGAGTATTTCAGAAACTGCTAATCTACTGAGGTTTTCACGCACAACCATCTCTAAGAATTACAGAGAATGGTCCGAAAACGAGAAAATATCCAGTAAGCGGCAGTTCTGTGGGCACAAATGCCATGTTGATGCCAGAGGTCAGAGGAGAAATTAGCAGACTGGTTTAAGTTGACAGAAAGGCAAAAGTAACTCAACCACTCAATACAAACAAGGTCTGCTGAAGAGCACCAGAACAATTTGAACCTTGGGCATATGGGATACAGCAGCAGAAGAACACACCAGGTACCATCTTTGTCAGTTAAGAACAGGAAACTGAGGCTACATTTCGCACAGGCTCACCAAAATTGGGCAATAGAAGATTAAGAAAAATGTTGCCTGGTCTGATAGGTCTCGATTTCTGCTGTGACATTCAGATGGAAGGGTCAGAATTTGCAGTCAACAACATGAAAAGATGGATCCATCTTGCCTTATATCAACAATTCTAGCTGGTAATGGTTGTGGGGATATTTTCTTGGCACACTTTAGGCTCATTAGTACAAATTGAGCATCGTGTCAACGTCACAGCCTGCCTGAGTATTGTTGCTGACCATTTCAATCCCTTTATGACCACAGTATACACATCTTCTGATGGCTACTTCCAGCAGGATAAGGCACCATGTCATAAAGCACAAATCATCTAAGACTGGTTTCTTGAACATGACAAGGAGTTCACTGTACTTAAATGGCCTCCAGTCACCAGATCTTAATCCAATAGAGTGCCTTTGTGTATGGTAGAACGGGAGATTCGCATCATGGATGTGCAGCCAACAAAAATCAGCAACTGCATGATGCTATCATGTTAATATGGACCAAAATCCATATCCTATCTACAACCCCTGAGGAATATTTTCAGTATCTTGTTGAATCTATGCCATGAAGGATTAAGGCAGTTCTGAAGGAAAAAGGGGGTCAACGTGGTACTAATAAGGTGTACCTAACTAAGTGGCAAAGTAAAGAGCGAAATTTAGCATTTTTTTTTAATCGTTTTATTTTTAAAAAGCATGATCATAAAACACGAACGCCATTATGAATGTAATGCAACATATGCTTGTTTGTTGTTTTTCTTCTGACTCACGTGTTTGGCTAAGTTGCCGTTGTAAGCTGGTGTATTCTGTGAAATTTTCTTACCCCTTGGTTTCAAGTGTGGTCCTCGAAAATCTTAGTTTCGAGGGCTATCTAGCCCTTCCGCTTAGCCCTATGCCTTCAAGCTAAAGAAGTCAAGCTGTGTACAAGTCAAACTTTACAAATTCCTGATATATAATATTTTAATAAAGTGCAGGGTTTCTGCAGGTCAAATTTAAGACTTTAAGACATTTTTTTGACCATTATGAATGAAAATGTAAACCTATACAAGGCTTAACGCAGATGGAAGATTTTCACTTGCCCTGTCAAAAATTATTATAATTTAATAAATTTAATAATACAATAATAATATTAATATTCATTCATTTTATTTTCGGCTTAGTCCCTTTATTAACCAGGGGTCGCCACAGCAGAATGAACCACCAATAATAATATTAATAATAATTTAATAATAAAAAAATAGGTCAGGTCAGTGTCCTTAGCAGTAAATACATGGAGAACTTTTAAGCAAATGTTACTGTAAGGAAAGGAATTAAAGCATTATGGTAAATACAGTTAAAAATGTTACTTTTAAATAAAAAGTTAAACACTATATTGAGATGGATTGTTGGTGATTGTATGGATTGTATACATGAACAAAGGAAAAATTAAGACCTGTTAAAAAAGATGTAAGACCCATAACACAACCTATACCCATAACACAATATTTCAGTAGATTTAAGACTTTAAGGCTTCAGGTTATGAGATTTAAGATATTTTAAGACTTTTTAAGTCTACTTGTAGCCCTAAATAAAACAAAATGTTTACAAACATTATGCACATGTATTAAAGTTCCTCTCCATAACAAATACTTTAAATGTAAAACCATTCAGGAGAGAATGAAAACTGTAAGAATAAAGGTTTAAACAAGCATCTATTATTTGCTTAGTTTGGTGACTGTATTATCTATGCTGTTTTCGGACATCATTTGTTTCAGATGGAAAAAAAAAAATAAAAAAATCAAACAAAATGTAAAGTGCATTTACCCGGCATGCTCTTCAGCAGCTTGGCGTTACACATCTGACCCTTCCAGATGTCTGTGAGGATGTACTCCATTCTTTTAGCCCTCCACAGGAAGTTGAAGACACGCAAGTAGTGGCTCATACACTCACGGGTGAACACCTGAAATCAATTGTGATTAGGGATTAAAATAGTTGCAAAAAAACAAACTCTGTTATCTTCTTTTTTTAAGTCGGTTAACTGATGCTTAATGAAGCGAGTAAACTAAAAATGTTCATGCGTCTATTTACGCATGAATAGCAGGATTTATCCGTGGCGCGCCACGTCTGCTGTGAACACAGCAATAGAACACAACAATGTGAGTTTTAGAATGCTGATCAGCTGCCAAGAGTGAATGTGCTGTAATACTCATAAAATGTTTGTAATGTTTATATCCATGTCTAATCTCAGATAGTCAGACATTGATTTATCTTTTATGAATCGTTCAATTATTGAAGTCATAATGCAGCAAGGCTAGAGATTGGAAAACAACAAATAATAATATAATGAAATGAAACATGTAACAAACAAGTAAAATAATTAATAATCAATATTTTAATGCTAACTGTGGTACTATAAAAACAGTATAGGTTCAGAAGTACAGTACATCATCTTACAATACATACATCATAATTGATGGAAAAAATATAATAATAATAATAATAAGTAAAGCATAATATAGTAAGCATAGGTTGCATGTGGACAAAATCATATTATATTATGCTAATCAAAAATTTATCACAGCACAATGTACGTTGGACTCAAAAACGTAAGCTAGATTGTGTTTATTTACTGTGGCAATGGGTCCTTCAACATGATAGTCCAAACTGAAGACGTCCCAGCCAGTGTCTCCAGGAGAAACCTAGGCCAAACAAGACACCAGATCAACTTTCAGTGTTGCACAGTTATCTACCTGAATTTACCATCAAATTTACCAGTCCTCTAAATACCTCCAGCAGCCGGACATCAAGCCTCTTCAGTATCTCAGGGCTGTCAAATTGGGCATTGGTTGCTCTGACGGCCGTCTCAAGTATTCCGGTTAGATTGTGCTGGTAAAGAGTGGTGGCAGGCCTGGCTAACTCTGGCCTGAGAGAAACAAAGAGAGATAGATGGATGGATTTACAGCTTGACAGATGAATTACAGATTACAGATGGATTTAAGGCTGATAAAGTGACCATAAAAACTTTTTTGTTGCCGTTTAAAAGATATTTTTAAATGCTTTGCTTTGTTTAAAGGTCCTGTGAAGTGCTTTAATATGTGATTTTTTTTTTATTCTGTAATTTGATGCAAGTTTAACCGAAACATTAAGACGGGGCGGGACAGATTGTAGCTCCTCCCCTTTATAATAACACAGCCAATAGTGTTTCGTATTTATGACAGCTCTGCCAGTGGGAGTGGTGGAGCTCAAGCGCATCAAATTAAAAGCAATTAAGTGTCATGAAAGGGGCGGAGCATGTCAGATACTAGAAAGCATTTGATTGGTCAGATATTTCATGAAAAAGGGAAATATGAAAAAAAAAAAAAACATTGATCCATTTAGGTGATAAACTGAAAGCTTTAGATGTTCATATCGGATTTATATTTCCTAAATGTGAAGTTTGTCACTTATTTTGAGCACACTAGCTTTTAGATATCCTTATAACTAACATCTACAAAAGTTTATTTTAATGTCACGGGACATTTAAATCACAGTTCTCACACAATACTGAATAGACAAAATTAACAAAAATAAATTATATACATATATACTTTTTCCTAAATAAATAAAACTGTATTTTTTTATTCTTACTTTGGTTCAAATTTTTAAGATTAATTTTTTTAATTTTTTTTATTGTACAATTTTTAAGATTGATTTATTTATTTTTTTTAGCTTTTTGCGATTATTAAGATAGGATAGTAAGAGTGTTTGAATCCAGAATTCAATGATTATTATTGTTTTTGCTAATTAGTGCAGCTCCAATAATCTTACTGAAGAAAAACACCTCTAAATCAACAATAAAATGCAAAACAGTGAGATCACAAATAAACATACTTAAGGAGGTCCATGAGGTGCCGGATAAAGTCTCCCTGGCCCAGCAGCAGGTATCTCCTCATGGCCTGAAGATGCTCCAGAAGCTGGTAGTTCTTATTCAGCACGTCTAGAAGATACTTACTGGTCTCAAAATACGCAGCATCAATCTTACTCTGAAAGGTCCCTTCCAGATCAGTGAACAACTCTGCAGCTGGGAAAGAAATAAAGAGAGTTTTAATTCAAAGCAAGAGCATGAGAGTGACAAATAGTGGACAGAGAAGTGGTAAATGAAGAAAAAAAAAGCCATGAAAACGCAGTTATTGATTAAACTTTAGTGGCTTTAATGGCTTAAATGAAAATTCTGACATTTACTTATCCTCTACTTTTACCAAACATATTTAAGTTTCTTACATTTTTTAATTTTAAATATTTTTCATTCTTTTAAATGCATTATCTATTGCTTCCTTTAAACCTTATACCTTTAATATTTGAATCTTTTCTGATGTTAAACAGATATTGGTATTACATTAATAACATTTTCCATTTTAAAAAGGGGTAAATAAAAGTATTTTGTTTTGTAAAACCATGTGTGTGAGACAGTAAATTTAGTACAGGGTACGTTCTTATGCCTAAAGATGGCAATATTTACCATTTTAACCTATCATTTTTTTCAAAGATTGAAACCGTCAGTAAGACTTAAATTTAATGCAAACAAAACAACAAAGACTGTAGTTTCACTGTAAACAAGACACAACCAAAACAATTTACCTGAAGAATTATTGTAGGATTTAGACTCACACAGTCGATCAAGCTCTCTCATAAATATAGCTATTAACTTAAAGGGCACCTATTTTTCCCCTTTTTCATTTAAGATTAAGATTTAAGATAAGTCTTTTGTGTCTCCAGAATGTGTCTGTAAAGTTTCAGCACACAACAACTATCAGATTATTTATTATACCTTTTAATACCTTTTAAAATGTTGGTATTTTCTGCTCTAAACACAATGTAGCTGTTTCTGTTGCCTCTGCTTTTAATGCTGGTTCTACCCACCCACCAATCCCACGTGCCTTTCTGAGTATGCCTCAATCTCTGCCTCAGCTGCGTCAGATAAATAGCACAGTGACAGACATGAAGGAAACAGATCTCACCTAAGGTTTGTAAAAAATACTACAGTAAGAACTTTCCCAATGATTATTTGATGTATTTGTTGTGGAGTTAATTCAAGCCTATCTGCAACGATAAGTCACACACACAAGTTCACGCACACAGACACACACACAGACAGCAAGTGTGTTTAACTTTGCACTATTTTTGCACAGCAAATGTGACAGGATACACATTAATATCCACTGCTATATTGATATCTGTTATGTTAATGTACAAAATTAACCTGATGTAATGTCCACAAACCGAGATTGAATTGTCTTTTATAATTGTTCTGCTGTTTTTCGGGAATAACATATCTTTGAATGTCGCAACTGACCAATCAGAACTGACTAATCCCAGTAATAAGGGTCTTTATCAACATGCCTGTAATTATCCGTGGCTTTATTTTTTTATTTAGCACAGCTAAGATGATATAGAGAAATATATAAGACTTTTCTTTTAGAATTTCACCATTTTGAACGCTATTTTTATTATTATCAGTTTGATACAATGAAATTTGCCATGAAAGCAGACAAAGTCAATGCAGAGTTTAAAAATAGAAGAACTGAACACCAGAAAAAAATAAAGAACCTTGTAGAATCACACTGAAGGACAGAGAAGTGTGTTGGAGGCTAAGAGCATTGATTAACCATACTAGCAAAGACGTTAAATACAGCCAGCATCGATACGGACAACTGCGCCACAGACGGGCAGTCAAAAACAGCACTTTTCTCCACAACAGATCAATCCTTCTCTTTCCTCTTTCAGCAGCTTATTTAACTATTGCTGCCATTATGGCCACAAATATCGCATTAGCAAGCATAAGCGCAGCTATTTTTAGCGACTGCATTAGCACTAGCTCACCATCTTTGGGAGAGTCTTTAGATTTGGAGGCAGGCATGATCTTTCCCGGTGGTGTCCGGTCATGACAAACCTGATGCAGGAAGTTGATGGATTTGCCAATAAGAAGAACCTGCAGAACAACATACATCAGATAGCATTATTATATGGCCATTCAAATCTGAATATTAATTAGTACTTATGTATGTATCACAGTAAACATGACCTTAAAATATCTTGAAGAAAAAAAGCATAACTTGGGCTTATATGTGCAAATCTCACGGTCACTTTCTACAGTGTGAACTGGGAAGTTGTTATAGGTAAAGCTGCGGTCAAACTGCACTTTTCTCCCCATAAACTTCCATTCATATGCATGCAAATGCATCAGACTGGAAACGTAAGCTTGTGGGACAAGTGTCACAGTTCGCTGCATTGCAAAGTCTAGGTTTGGTAAACTCTGACCTATGAAATCGCATCACGTGATTGCGTGACACCCATCAAAGATCAAAACATGACCTCTCTAGACAGAAATTTAAAACACTGACCAATCGCTCGCTTTTTAAAGGGCCATGAAACCCCCTCGTTTCAGCAGGGTGTTTTCACACCTCTACTTTGGAAGAAAAGTGGGTGTGTCCAGCTCTGTTTAGGGGGGAGTGTCGGAGGAACTAAAGTGGGAGGGTGTGGGAGTGTCTATTTGGGCACGCGCGAGCTTCAGAGTCAAAATACACAGACATGAGAAAGTGATGGTGTTTAACCTACATGGACATCTGTAGTGGAATTATTTGTCAAATTATTAAATGGTGGACTTTAACTGCAGTTTGGCTCTTTCATTCAGGGAATTCATTCATGCCCCTCGCGACAAACGAGATATTTGATTCGAGGATCTGCTCTAAGCGTGTATTTTTCATGCAATGTTTGATACCGCACGGCGAATGAGAGAAAAAAAAAACCTCCGCATTTTCCGGAAACTTAGATGCACACGACAGGTAGTGTCAGAAAGCCGCGTGTTATTCCGGTCACTAAATGCGGTTAAAAACCCTACACGAGGTTAAAGTTTGGTTGTGGTCCTAACATGTTACGGTGCAATAGTTAACTTAGTTCGATACGAACAAACTGAATAAACAAAGAGCACTGGTCGCTCACTTACCAAATCTGTAGAGACAGGACAATCCACAGCAACTAGAGCCGCGTCTTTATGAAGAGAATACTACAAGCGTATCCGATCTCAGCGTTTGCAGATGAGAACAGCTCTCAGGTAAACAATAATCCTCCTTAGACACGCAAGTTATTGTTGTCGAGCGTCGCGTACACTGTTAATCCACACGTGAGTCTGAGCTCTCACAGAGAGAAAAAGAAAACGAAACTTAACGGCAGCAAACTATAAAAGCAACACTTCACGCTTGTTTTGCCAACACAACGTGGCGTCCATGTCGTGTAAACACAGAAATGAATATTAATGAAGTTGCACAATAGAGCGCGCTGATTGGTTTGAACCAAGCCTTACTCATGCATTAATGCATCACACTGTAAGACGTAATAAGACTCACTCTGGCACAGACGCCCAGTCTGCACGCTGGAATACAACGCTATTATGTCATGACCGTGACGCAGCTTCAAAAATTCGTTTCAAACAGGAAGTACGAATTTGCTTGAAATAACGCAAAAACAACCAATTTACACTTTTTAGTGAAATATAGGTGTCCTAATAGTGTTTTGAGCAGTGTGGGACACATATACGACTGTCAACAGCTCAAAAAATGTGTTTTGGTGTTTCGTGACCCTTTAAAATGTCTAATCATCTTGTTAAATCCCACCCCCTTTTGCAGCGGCGTACAACAGAATTTCGCACGCACAATCTCAAGTGTGACTGAGGTATAAAGCATATTTTAAATTAATTAAATAAACCAAAATTCATTTGGTGAGTAGCAAAATTATTAATAAATAAAAAACAAATAATTAATAAATAAATATTAACATTACTATCATAAAAATATACAATTATATAGTTCAATTACATACATATTGGATAATTTATAATGATTAATTTATAATGAAGATTACAAATTAAAATACATTGCTAAATTTAAATGACTAGATAGTAAACTTGACATTGTAAACACCTTCAATTCTGCAGAGGATGACAAAAACTGGACGAAAGAATATTTCAGAGAGGAATAATATCTGTTTTGCAAACTTACACTAAATGTATTGGTTTTGTTTTTGTTTTTTTAAGTCAATTTGTGGTGTATGCTTTATATTTCATACACAAACTAATGTCCTCCAAGTTTAAATTGATAGTGTACCCTATTTAAAGCCTAAAAGCATATTTATACACACACACACACACACACACACACTCGACTTGCCTGATATAGCAAACACCACTCACTTTACTTAAAAAAATAAATAAATAAAATATCCAGATTGTGTATGTCAGACCACAATCATAGATTTTAACCAACAAGAGACTATACTATGATGATGATGTACAGAAAGTGCTGTACCTTCCTGGCCTGGTCCATGGTGATGAAGGATGGGATCATACTCTTCCTTAGAGAGTATTTGTCATGCCAGAGTCTGTCCGTCTTCACTGTTGGGTCCGAGGCTACAAAAAACTGAAGAAAGGTTTTGATTGTCAGACAGGTTTCTTATCGATTTTAAAAAGGTCTTAAAAGGACATCTCACCCAGCAATGAAAAATGCTAATAAACAATTCAACATACATATAACTTTTTTCTTTAACAGAACATTTGAAGAACATTTTAGCTGAATCAGAGGTCTTGGCGATTCATAAAATGTAAAAAAAAAAAAAAAAAAAAAAAAAAAAAAAAAATTACTGGATTTTCACACTCTGAGAATCAAAAACAAGAGCAAAAACCACAGTTATAGCTAAAAATAAAATTTTTCTGAAGCGAAAAAAAAAAAAGGTTGAGTCGCACTACAAAGGCAAAGTGCAGTAACTATGTAAACAAAAACAAATCCTGGATATTTTAGGACATTTAGAAACCCAAACCGGACACAAAAAGGTGCGGGTCTCTGTGGGTTTGTAGAGCATGTGAGACGGGTAAAGGAGAGTATGAAACGGGTAAAAGAGAGAAGATGTTCCACTCGCTCGCGAATGTTTGTTTATATTGGGCTGATCCAAAAAAAAAAGTGTAAAAGGATGATGATAATATAAAAAAATGTCACTAAATACACAAGTAAAGTCTATGTGTGGGATGCACTGGGTAGTTCCTGCACTTTGCCTTTGGAGAGTAGTGTGGGTGACTATTCTTAAGGCATTATCCACGGAATGAAAATTCTGCAATCATTTCTCACCCTTGACAGCCAGTTGAGTTCGTTTCAGTCTGCTTTTGTTCGGCTGAACACAAAATATGATATTTTGAAGAATGCTGAAAACCAGTAACCACTGACTTTCATAGTATTTGTTTCTTTCTATAGATTTGAATGGGTACAGGTTCACAACACTCCTCAAAATATCTTCTTTAGTGTTCAACAGAAAAAAAAAAAAAATCTGTTTTAGAACACGTAAAGGGTGATTAAATATTAGCAGAATTTTTCATTTTTGGGTAAACTTTTATGCTACAGCATCCAACATGCACATGGAACCTGATAATGAAGAAACTACTGCACTGTTGAAGTGACTCAATTCCAATCTTTTTTCTCCTATGGCACAGATCGGATATGGCCCACGTACAAGTAGCAGGAACAAATCACATGGATTCCGATTTACTCAAATCAGATTCAGGCCTTGTTCATATGTAAAAATTTAATAAGATGCCTAAAGGTTTAAAAAAAAAGCCTATATATCAAAAGAAGACGGACAAATGAAAACCTTTGTCATAAACTATAGTAAAACAGCTTGTCAAAAGCTGCGAACATACAGGAATAAAGAAAAGAGCACTCTTTAATTATCAGCTGTTAGTCGGCGCCCGCTCTTTTTTTTCTGGTCTTTGCACCTTTGCCGTGTTCTGTGTAAATGCAGATGATCGCATACGAGTCACTTTTAAAAAATAATGTAAGCAGGTCATCAAAAAAATAAATAAATCGGATACAGTCACAAAATCGTAATTGACCAACAAGATCTGCAGTGTAAATGCAGCCACTAAAGTAAACACTACAGCTCAAAGACAAAAGACCTTCATCAACTGCTCAACTAATAACACAACAAATGACCTTTCTGTAGTAATTCCACATGAAGAGTACATCAGTACTTTCAGCAAGGCGACTATTAAAATGGCTGTTGCGAAGAATAACGATGCCAATGGAAACGAGGAGCTCGTAAACCCCTGGCCAAGAAGGAGAGAGCTGTGGATGGGTACATTAGTGATATAACCCTCTCCGTCACCTCCACCCCTCAGCACTGCTTACACAGTGAAAAAGCCTGTTACACTTCAGCGAGGGCCAGATTAAATCCTGTGATTGCAGGCAGGAGAGTCTGATTGGTGCCTGTGTGGAGGGTAAGCTGGGAGTTGATTGGGCGATAATTCTTCTACGCCCTGCGACTTCAGACTTAGTCGAGTGGGCATAGACTAAGTAAAGAAAGATTCATTGACATGGTTTGGTAATGGTGGAGGACAAGGAGAAGTGGATGTGAGAGTGATAGCATGGAGAACGAAAGAGAAGGACAAAGAGGAAGAAGAAGACGGGTCCATTAGTGCAGCCTCATCTGTCCTCATCTGGACGTCTGTGTGTAGGAGACTGTGGTTCACTGTGTCTGGAAAACTAAATCACACTCAAGTGTTTCTCACATATATTACAGTGCACAAGTCAACGGAGTCAACATGAGGACACCGTGTATGAGTTCAGCTTGAACTATATGATCAAATACGAAACATGCAGGAATTCCTTTTGCTAATTTTCTATGCATTAAATGGCACTTCTATGTTTTTTTATGAGGTGTACGATTAATAATAATAATAAAAAAAAAACTACTTTAAAAAAAAGTCTAATTTCTCCATGATGGATGTACAGCGTCCTCCAGTCTCTGGCACCTAGACTGCAGCTCTGTACAAAAAGTTTGGCTAGAGGAAAAATGGTTGTATCTAACTGAGCCTGGTTTCTGTCAAGTTTTTTTCCCTTCACTTTTGTCAATTGGTAAAGTTAGTTCCTCGCCACTTTTACCACTGGCTTGCTTGGTTTGGGAGTTGTGGAGCTGCGCATCCATGGATTTGCTCAGTGTTTGACCTTTCAGCAGTGAAAATTAAACCACACTAAACTGAATTAAACTGAACTTCAACTCTGAAAACTGAACTGACACAGTTTCAATCTTCTAGAACATCTATGTTAAGCTGCTTTGACACAATCTACATCGTTAAAGTGCTATAGAAATATAGATGAATTGAATTGAATAGTTTTAAATAGATTTAAGTTTACTCAGTTAAAAATTGCCTAAATATATTTAACGCACTGGTATACTTCAAACAAAATCAAAAAAGAACAGAAATGGCATCTTTCCGAACAAAATCCAGCCAAAAATGAAGTTTGTTTTGAGTTTGTTTCGCTCACTAAAGCATACTTTTGTGGAAGTTCGTTTTGCTTCTAAACCCTTTTAAACTTCCATAGTTCTAATAGTGTTCTGCTTGGTGTCTATACACCGCAAACAGAATGCATTGTGACGTGCTGCTGTGGGATTCTCGTGCGACTGTTTGCTTTATATGAAACTGTTCTTCTCTCACAGCCACCATTGTTGCCGTTTAGGAGTAGCAGGAAACATTTTATCTATTGTTCTAAAATCAATTAATCAATCAATCAATTAATCAATCTCTATCTATATATCTATCTATCTATCTGGGTTGTCAAATGATTAAAAAAAATTTACGTAAATAATCACACTTTTTTGTAATTAATCATGATTAATCACCATCAAATAAGTGCCATATTTATTACAGAAATAAAAACACAGACATGTAAGTGCCATTTGAATTTCAAAACCATCAATCCCAATAACAAACAAAAGTGATTTCCAAAAATGATTTCCATCAAACTTATGAAATGTGAGGACTCCTGTTAGTAGCTTAAAGGCAGAGAATAGGACTGTCTTTGATAGCTTGCATGATGAAAGTAAGCACTGTGAGGGAGGGGGTGGGTGTAGTGCATGAATGTGAGGACCGGGGGTGTTGCTCACTATTCTGCTGCCTAAGGCGCCCGTCTAGGTGCCTCTATAGACGCGCCGACCCTGAACACGTCAGCCACAACAGGAAATAAAATAAAAAAACTGCAACTGTGATATTTGCGTTATTTATTTATTTTTACGCGTTATACATTTCAAATTAATCACGTGCATTAACACGCTAACTTTGACAGCAACCACTAAAATTAGGCAACAACCATCTCATAAGCTTCATTTCTAAATGTTTGATTCAAACAAAATCAGCACTTTTTCCAGGTTGCCCGAGGTAATGCGCATGCGCACTCAAAATGAACATTTTTGTTTGTCGTGAAAATTTCATTTATGGCCGTGCTACACACTATCATCCCAATAATGCTTCGTCTGATCGCGCTCGTCTTCTGCAGTTCACAACTTGTCTTGATGGCGAATGTCCTACAGAAATGATAGTGACTCTTTGTTTACAAGTTTGTGGGCGTTTGAGAGGCTGCTGTCATGTAATGTGCGTTTGACAGGACAGACTTGCGTTCGTTTTATACAGATTACAAAACCAAAAAAAAATTTTAGTTTTCAAGTGCACTTGGTTCATTTAAAAGCACAGATTTAAGGCTTTATGTGGATATATTTCTCAAGTCTGTAGAGCAAATATTCGCTGAGATTCCAGTGTTTATTGCTGAAGTTCATGTTAAAATCAGTTTAGTTAGTTTTTTGTTTGTTAGTTTGTTGTTTGTTTTTTGTTTTTGTATTTTAGAGGTTTGTTTGCATGCTATATACATATATTAAAAATATAAATTATTGTATAAATGTTGTAATGTTTAAATATTTTCCTATTAAAATGTGTGAATGTCATGTGACCATCAGGAAAAATGTCATTTTTTTAGAGGATGTATTCTCGCGGTCTTCCGAGATGGTTCCGAGGTAACTTGGCAGAACTGGTCTTCATGAAAACACGAGTCTATTCTCTGTGTTTGTGGAATCGAGAAACAGCCACAGTCAAAATATGGAGAAGTTCAAATCAAATGTCACAATCCAGAAGAAAGATGATTTGAGAACCTTTAAAAGTGGAGTGGTTGTTAGTGCCAGACAGGCTGGTCAGAGAATTTTTAAAACCTGCTGATCTACTGCAGTTGTTCCACACACCAGTCTCTGGGGTTTACAGAAAATGGGTTGAAACAAAAAGAGAAAGAGTAAAAAAAAAAAAAAAAAGCTACTGTGCAAGCTCTGTGAGTAAAAATGTCTCATAGATATTTTCTGAAGGCAAATGTACCTAATGAAGTGGCCAGTCAGTTTATATATAATTTTTAAAAATTAAATAAAGAGAATTAAATAAATTATAATACATTAAAAAATAAATTCTTCCAAAATTCTCATAAATGCTTTAATAATATAAGAGATAATCCTTAAATGGTCTAAAGACTCTGAAATGATTAATGGAAGTGAATCAAAAGGAGCAACCCTTACATTGCTAATGAAATTTAAATCAGAGACACTATTAAAAAAGGTCTTAACGCTCCACTACTTGAGAAATGAGGCTTGTGAAACTCTCCAGGACATTTAATGACCAAAATTAAAAGTTCATTTAAAAAAAGAAATCACTGCAATAGTCTCTTAATTGTAGATTGCCAGCAAAATGAATGCCACAGTGTAAAGAATGAAGTACAGCTTTGCAGTGTTAACCATAAAATAAACACTAAAGTATGAAGTAAGTTATTGTGTGACTTTGACATAAACAGAGTGTGTATGTGTTCCTCCTGACCTCATGGTACGTATCCTCCAGCTCTCCATCATAAATCCAGCGGTATAAGAAGTTGAGAATCGGATGAGACACCAGACCAAGGATGTGCTGGATCAGTGCTCTCATGTTGGGGTCACCCGTCTTTCCATACGCATGTACAGCAGTGGCCAACTCTCCACCCTTACGCCCTGAGAGAGAAACCAGAGTTTGTTTATTTACCGTCATATCAGCAACCTATGGCTAAATTGCAAAATTAATATAGATCATTGGCTAAAATAATAAGATAAAATGGCTAAAAGCAAAATTAATATAGATAAAAAATTAACATTAAAATTGCATAATAATAAAAATGTAAATCATAATAACAGATGATAAATAAATACATAAAATATTTCACATTAAGAACATTAAATATGATTTTTTACTTGCCCTGCCAAAATTTTCACTGGCCCAAGTAAAAAAAAAGTCAAAAGTCTTTTTTTTAGCCTCATATTTTAAATTATATATATATATATATATATATATATATATATATATATATATATATATATATATATATATATATATATATATATTACAGATGTAATGGTATCAAAATTTCACGATACGGTAATACCTCGGTATGAATGGCACGGTACGGTATTTATTGAATCATTTAAAGGAAAAAAAAAACTATTGAAGAGACTCAAAAAAGTGCTAGAATGTTCAGGTAACCTCAACACTGAACAGATCAATGACATACAAATTACCTATTTGTAAACTTTCAAACAGGAACTTAAATTATTAAATTTTAATAACAAAAAATATTAAACCATGTAAAAAAAAACACCACTCGAAAGGACAAGCCATGAGTGAGATAGAAGTCTCTTGGTGGTACAAGTCAATGTCTCCATCAATCTGAGCAGTGTGCTGTGTTCTGCTGTCCCCTTGACTAAAAGAATCCCCATCATGTTAGCCATATTCCCCGACTTGTATTTCAGCATTGTATTTTTTTTTCTGTCACCTTTTCTTTTTTCTTGTTTCTTTTCAGAGAGAAACTGAAATGCTTCCATGCATCTGATTTAAAACCCGCTTTAGGTTTGACCATTTTTAGCTCTTTTTCTTTGCTCCTACTAGCAGCACCCTCCATTTCTGCATTACTGGATCTGTAGTGACAACAGACCGCAAAGGATGATGGCCACGCCTGGGCTGATGAAAATTGTAGTTTCCGCTACCTCCCATTTGCTCCATTCGCCTGAGAAAACTTTTTACCAGAAGACCTATAATTTTATTGAGTCACAACCACGGTAATATTGAAAGAAATTGCTATTGCGGTATGACGGTATTTACAGGATGAGTTGTATAACCACCAACCTTGGCAGTAGTCCACCAGGGCGGCCAGTGTTTTTAGTCGAACCTTGGGGTCGTAGGTCCACACCAGAAGTCTCCTCAGAGTCAAACTGCTGTCAACACTCATATTTACACCCTGATCGTCCTCCACCTGGAGCTGAACGCACACACATTCACACCAATTAACTGGCAAAAAATACAAAAACATTGTATTTATATGTTTTAGATTATTATTTTTTTTTTATAATTGAACACAAACTGCCCTGCAAATGATTTCATAGTGCAAAGTATGTAAATAAGAGTTGGGCTAAACAATATATCAAATAGTTATCATTGTGGCGATAATAGTATTTGCAATATCTGAATCAAAGAGTATTTGCTTGTTACATGCATAGGTCATTTATCCAAATTTAACCAATCAGATGGGGTCTTGCTATATCCCCAGTAGGTGCTATTATGCTATTGGCTAGACCGGCCCATAAGTAATACAGGTGCCTCAGAGCAGAGAGCTGAAAATAAATACTAATGGCGGAAACATCAGTTCAAATGAAGACAAATGAAGAAAATGAAAACAGTGAATAAAAATCGAATTATTCAAAATAGAATAATAAATATATAAATAAAAAATCTGAAGGGATGCAGGGTGGGGCAGTGGGAAGCACAATCGCCTCACAGCAAGAAGGTCGCTGATTCGAGCCCCGGCTGGGTCAGTTGCCGTTTCTGTGAGGAGTTTGCATGTTCTCCTCATGTTCCTGTGGGTTTCCTCCAGGTGCTCAGGTTTCCCCCACAAGTCCAAAAACGTGGTACAGGTGAATTGGGTAAGCTAAATTGTCCGTAGTGAATAAGTGTGAATGAGTGTGTATAGATGTATGTTTCCCTGTGATTGGTTGCAGCTGGAAGGGCTGGATAAGTTGGCAGTTCATTCCACTGTGGCGACCCCAGATTAATAAAGGGATTAAGCCGAAAAGAAAATGAATGAATAAAAGAAAATCTGAAAACGTTTGGAGTCATTGGTAGTGCCCTTAAGTCTAAATGTTTGCACCTCTACTATAAATATCTAATACCAAAATATCTAAAACTTACTGGCAGAAGCTCAATGTCCCTGATATGTGAAATATTGTTTTAATAATTATAATTCATTATTTTAATATTTAATATTTAATTAATAATTAATATTTATTTTATTAATGATGAGAAGGGATCCCTCTGTATTCAAAGAGGTTTAAAAGAAGATATAATGCAAATTAAATATTAAACATTAAACTTTTGTTTTGTGCAGGTATGTTTTATGTAGCATCACTTGGCTTAAATCAAACCATTATATTTTTTTATGTTAAAATTATATCATCATAATAATTATAAAAAAATTATTAATATATAATAAAAAAGATTGTTGTATTCATTCATTTATTCCACTAATACACTGTACGGCTTCTTATGCTTGGTTGTCGTCATTACAAGTTGCTTTGGATGCAACAGTCAGAAAAGGTTACAGGAGCAATTTGTTTCATTTCAGACAGGGTACAAAAATTGGCTGGAGCTTTGCATCAGTTTCCCCAAACTTCTGTTCTGAAAACTTTACTACAATATCCTGCAGATTTTTTCCAGCCAAGAACGAAAGGCAGAAAAGGGTTGAACGCACACACATTTTCCCCTGCACATTAAGCGTTTGTCCCATACTCACCTGTGCATGAAGTACAGAGAGCAATCTGTAGTACTCTTTCAGTTCCTGATGCAGAGCAGCACAAAAACTCTGAGAATAAAGACAACAAAACAAGTGTTACTAAAATTATGCAACATTTTTTATGTTAGTAATTACATTTTCATTTTTAAAATTGTAATCATTTTTTTGAATAGCTGTACACACATATCCAATTATTTTCTTTACCGAGTGAAAACAACATAAGTGCTTGTGATAATATATATACCCACACACACACACACACACACACACACACACACACACACACACACACACACACACACACACACACACACACACACACACACACACACACACACACACACACACACACACAGTTGGAGTTTAAATTATTAGCCCCCTGAGTTATTAGCACCCCTGTTTATTTTTTTCCATTTCCATTTAGTCATTTAGCAGACGCTTTTATCCAAAGCGACTTTTATCCAAAGCGACTTTCCCAATTTCTGTTTAAGCAGATTCTTTCAACACATTTCTAAACATAATAGTTTTAATAACTCCTTTCTAATAACTGATTTTTTTATCTTTGTCAAGATAACAGTAAATAATATTTGACTAGATATTTTTCAAGACACTTCTATACAGCTTAAAGTGACCTTTAGGGTGCTTTCACACTTGGTTCAATTGCCCGGACCGTATCCAAGTTCGATTGTCTCCCCCTGCCACCTCCTCGGTTGGTTTGTGTTCATACTGTCTTTTTTCCATCTTAACCCCGGTACGCTTGCGTCATCGAGCTGCTGTTTTGTTTACAGCCGTTGCTAGGTGACGGTCACGAAAGCAAGTGCCAAAATGGAAAGACGTCCGCACATCGTGGTCATTCTGCTTTTACTAAAGCTTTTAGTTTTGGACATACAGAAAGCGACTCGCGTCCATCTGCAGCGAAAATGTCATAAACATTCAGAACATCAAGACATCACTGCGTTTGCTTTGGCTCAGAAACGTGACACACACACACACACACAAATTAACGTTATGAAAACGATAGTTTGTTGTACAGTTGGCAGTTCACTTCCGTGATTTGGTACGATTGCATTCACATCAGAAGTGAACCGTACCAGGGTTCGCATGAACCGTACCCCAGACCACCTCTTTTAGGTGGACTCGGGTACGGTTCACGGGTGCGCACCCGAGTTTAGAAGACACGTTGACACTAGCTAAACATATCTTACTATGACGTCAAACAAACCCGGGTGCGGACCAAAAGTGCTCATGTAAAAGCACCCTTAAAGGCTTAACTAGGTTAATTAGGTTAACTAGGCAGGTTAGGGTAATTAGGCAAGTCATTGAATAATGATGGTTTGTTCTGTAGACTATCGAATAAAATATAGCTTAAAGGGGCTAATAGTTTTGTCCTTAAAATGATTTGAAAATAAATTTCAAAACTGCTTTTATTCTAGATGAAATAAAATAAATAAGACTTTTTGCTGAAGAAAAAATCTTATAATTATAAAATCACAATGTATTCTGTGTAAGACGTAGTATAATGAAGGAGGTCCCCAAAAAATGGCAGCTTCTAGGTCTGACAAGACTTGAAATGAACACATTTTATTTCTTACCTGCCCAACAAGACCAAAGGCTCGATCCAAGCTGTGTGAGTCTGTATATTTTCTAATTTTATTGTGGAGCCAGCCGAGCTCGGCCAGCCTGCTGCTAGTGTCTCTCAAAGACTTACACAGTGGCACCTACAGAACAAACAATTAAACAAACAAACAAAAAAAAAAACTGTTATTAGCTGACTGACCTACAAAATGCAGAATACACAGCAAGAACCAAAATACTGAAAGTAATACATTACAATCTAAAGTCACTTTGAAAAAAAAAAAATAAAAGAACAAAGCTAAATGTGTGGTTCATTTTAAGGAAAGTAACGTCAAAGCATGTGTTATGATATTTGTAGTGCTGGCCATATATATATATATATATATATATATATATATATATATATATATATATATATATATATATATAACAAAACTATACAAACTTTTGTTACATATTTATTTAATTAATTTATTTAATTTATTTATTTATATTTAATTATTTAAATGTATATATTATTTGTATCACACTTTATCCAAATATAGATTGTGAAATATATGCATGCGTGTATTTATATATATATACAGTAAATGTCAGAACTATTAGCTCTCCTGAATTATTAGCCCCTCGTGTATGTTTTCTCCCCATTTCTAAACATCATAGTTTAATATCTAATTTATAATAATTGATTTCTTTTATCTTTGCCATGGTGACACTACATAATATTTTACTGGATATTTTTCAACACACTAGCATTCAACTTAAAGTGACATGCTAAAGGTTAACTAGGTTAATTAAGCAAGTTTGAGTAATTAGGTCAATCACTGTATAATGATTGTTTGTTCTATAGACAATCAAAAAAACATAATGCTTAAGGAGGCTAATAATAATGACGTTAAAATGATTTTTAAACATTAAAAATTGCTTTTATTCTAGCCAAAATAAAACAAACTGCTCTGTTAAACATGATTTGGCAAATATTTGAAAAAAAAAAGTAAAAAATCTAATAATTTTGACTTCAACTGTACATAATAAATGTACACAGTACGCACACATTTTGTCAAAAAGTTTATTTTATTTTTGCATTTTATTTCATTTTAAAGAGCAAGATAGGATTAAAATGATATATAATATATATCATTATATAATATAATATAACATTATATAATATAATATAACATAAATAATATATGTTTTTTTTTAGCCAACACTGACTTTAAAAGTCTGTAGGAAATCTGTGTTTTATTGTAGGGTTTCTGTCAACCGGCCAGTGTGTAATCTGCACTTGTGACATTCCGGTAAAGACATTTCTATCAGGTAAATGAAGAAATTGCTTGAGCCAATCTCGATAGTTACTTTATTTTGTCTTTTTTGTGAGCTACATCATCTCCCTTCCACACAAAAGCTCTTTGATTAGAAATGCGCTTGGAAAGGTCACCAAGATTCCTTCAAAGCAAAGCGGTTTCTAAACAGACAACCAGTTCTTTCACATATTTTTCCTCAGATACAGACGAATCAGGCACAGAAAACTGATATCTTTTACTAACAGCATAACAAGGGAATATGCAAAATATGAAAATGATTCACTGATTTGTTAAACTTAAGGCGTACACCAAGAAATACCTTCACATTTAAAGGCTAATTACTTAACACATAAATAGTGACAACAATATAGAATTTTATATTTGGATATACAGCTATGAAAAAAATAAGAGCCACTTTCTCTGGATGTACTAGATTTCCAGTTGAAGTCTTTTTCCTACTTATTTTGCAAGAAACAAGCATTTAACTTAAAGTGCAACTAAAAGACATAACTAGGTTATTACGGTAACTAGGAAAGTTAGAATAATTAGGCAAGTCAATGGACAACAGAAAATAATAAGGGCTAATAATATTGACCTTAAAATGTGTTTTACCCATTTAAAAACTGCTTTTATTTACTATATAAAAAGTAAGGTAACTTAAACATTTAAAGCAACGGCTGCAAGGAAATTGAGTTTATTCAGTGCCAAAGCTGTGCCAAATTTTTTTTTTTTAGATTAAGACCAGTATATTTTATGAAATAAGTAGATCTTATTTGTCAAACATTTTTTTTAATTGAATGAAATTCTATGTAGTTGTGCCAACTCATTTAATACAGTTTACTCAAGCCCTGTTTAATTTTAAGCAAACAAATTTGGCACAACTTCAACCACAAACCAATTTCATTGCAGCAGGTTGCTTTAAACTTTTTAGTTCCCTCAACTTTAATTTGTACAATGTTCTATCAGAACTAAAAGAAAAACTTTCCCCAGAAGAAAAAATATTATAGGAATTACTGAAAATGTCCTTGCTCTGTTAAAAATCACTTGGGAAATATTTAAACTGTATATTGGGTATTGGTTTGAGTAAAATGTTTGTTTTATTCTATAAAGGTCAGATAAAATTTCTTCCAAAATAATATTAATAATAATAATAATAATAATTAGCAGTTTTTGGAGCAAATATCAATAGGTCCAAATTTCAAGCGTTTTTATTGGTTGTTATTACACTGATATTGTGTTGTCTAAAAATGAATATTCTTTAAATAAAAGAGCCTTTTTTTGATATTTTATACAAGATAAACACTAAAATAATGTAATTGTTTAATTTTAAATTAGAAAGGGCAACAGAAGTTTACAGTGCCTATAGAAAATCATCATAGCCTATTAAAATAATTACTTTGTTATAGAGCCTGAAATCAAATCACATTCCAAATAACTTTTCCAGCTTTTGAAATGTTTTTGTAGCCTTCTCCTAACCTGTGTCTTTCTACAATTTTATCCCGAAAGTCTTTTGAAAGCAGGGTGTAATGCGAGTAAAGGTATTGGTAAAAGGTAGATTTTTCTATGGGCACTGTACATAATACTATACATTAAAATCTACAACTATGTGTGATAATTTCGGTCTTTTTATTATTAAAAAGAATAATATTTTTCTATTTTTCTTTGTTTGTGGTTAAATTTGATTAATATAGTTTTTTTGTATATTCTGAAGTGATTGAATCAATTTACATCTTTATGGAAGTTTATTTTATATTTTATAACCCGTTGATTGTATTGCAAAGGGTATTAAAAAGTATTGTGAAATATCTGGAAAGTTAGGTTTGTGAGGTTTATGATGAGCTGAACTAAAATGTGGTGAAGTGTTTTTTGCTGTTCTCATTTTTTAATACATTGATTTGGTCGATTGAACATTTGATTTTGGTTTATTTGATGAAATCATACATTTGTTGAAACTTTATTTAATTAAACTATTTGAGAAACTGTAGAAGGGTTTTCTACCCCTGGCCCCAGACCCATTTTATTAGCCAAATACTGCTACAAGCCAGACTGGTTTGTATTTTCCTTCAGACAAGACATATAGCTATGAAAAATGAAGAGAACGCTTTACACAACAATGAAACATAAACCCCAAAAAAATTGAGAATTTTCAAACTTCTCCTTTTTTCATAGCTGTATGTCATATCCAAAATAAAAAAAAAAAACCAGTCTGGCTCATCAGTGTGTCCATTATTTATCCAGCACACCTAACCGAACACAAAAAGCCCATTGTTCTTTTCTAAACAAATGGATGTACCATTTTAAAACTGTCACTTAAAAAAAGACACCTGATCAATGGGCTTTGATTCACCATCAGTGTCTGCCAGGAATGAAAAAGACTTGTAAGTTGCTTGGCTTAAATGGATTCACGAGACCATAAGAAGAAACTGATGATGCTATCCTATATTTCTCATAATGCACTTTCAAACTGACAGGAGCTTTAGTTTGTTTAATAAAAACTCACTTTAACACGCTTTATAGATACTTTCAAGAAGAAGTGTTAGAGTAGAACATTGTGCTCACAATAATTACTTCCCATCATCCCTGTCTGACGTCTAAAGTGATTGTACAGTAGCTGGAGTGGAGAGGAAATTAAAAATGTGAATAATCAGAAAAAAAAGTACTTGGCTAATAATCTGAAAGTTAAACTTGCTTTGTAAATGATCATCATAACATAGTCATTATGAATGACTGAGTGATTTGACTGGCTATAAAACTTAATATAAGATTTTCATTTAAAAGTGTGGTCATTAAAGAATTGCTTTGTAAGAACACAGCAAGCTAATGTTAAGATCATTCTTGTAAAATTGTATGTTATGCTAAAATACACTACTGATCAAAATAATAAGGGGAGGTTTGCGCGTTTGCATTCATTTGTAGAATAAAAACAAGACATTTGAAAATGCTATATTAAAATACACTCACAGGCCACTTTATTAGGTACACCTTTCTAGTAGCTGTTGAATTCAGAACTGCCTTAATCCTTTCTGGCATAGATTCATCAAGGTACTGGACATATTCCCCAGAAATATTGGTCCTTATTGACATGATAGAATCTTGTAGATGCAGCAGACTTGAAAGCTGCACATCCATGATGCGAATCTCCCATTCCACCACATTCCAAAGCTGCTTTATTACATTGAGTCCGGTGACTGTGGGGGCCATTTGAGTACAGTGAGCTCATTGTCATGTTCAAGAAACCAGTCTGAGTTGATTCGCGCTTTATGACATGCCGCATTAACCTAGCCATCAGAAGATAGGTACACTGTGGTCATAAGCAGGGCTGATAGTGGAAAAAATTCCTGAGCCTGAACTTTTTTCCTTGCCCCTGAGGTGAGTAGGGGTGGGGGTACTATGTATGCAACGCACTTTTAACACATAACTTGTGGGCCCCTGGGCCCAAATATATTAACAGCCTATGTGTAACCCTGATCATCATTATTGTCAAGTGGCTCTTTTTAGACACATGCCAGTAATGTCAGTGACACATGCCAGTGTCAGTGATCTTGTGACATGTGCCAGTAGGTGTCAGTATAAGCACGTTATAAGCACATTAATCTTATAAGTCTCTTTGCTTTAATATTTAAAAATCATTAGGCAAATGACACCTGTTATCTTACATGCATATATGTTATGAGTTTTCAACGTGCATTTTATTATAACTTTTTAAAGGATATTATTTAAAATACCTTAAAATGAAAATAAGTTAAATAATAAAATAAATGAATGAATTAAAAACATAGAGAAGTCCATATTGTAGGGAACAAAGGAACTGCCAGGATGCAATAATATACAGTACAACA